AGATTCGATGTAGATGTCTACAATTCTACATTCTTCTCTGATGTAGACCTGGAAAAAATGTAGAATTGTAGACATCTACATCGAATCTTTATGTAGACAGAATCTTTATGTAGAAAAAATCTTTGTGTAGATTAGATTTTCTATCTTCATATAGAATCGATCTTTATGAAGAAAGTTTCTTAGCTAGACAAAAACTATTGAAAATCTACATTCTTCATCTAGTGTAGACATCTACATTTGCAACACTGCAACCAACATTTAAATGTGAAAATCTCAAAATGAAATATTTTACGTCATTCAGACCACATCTGGTGAGAGTTTTGCCTTCTCCTTCAAACAATTTTTGGTTAATGCCACTCAAAAGAAGGCAAACGGAAGGGGAAAAAATGCCGCAAAAGTAAAGTAAGTATTATGAGCTGCGCAAAATAAAATTCTACCATTGAGTCATGTAAGGTATGCTGGGATAAAAGAGGAAGTACATGAAAAATATTTTATCATGCTGCTCGCATATATATTTTTTTTGTTGATGACACTTGGGTGTGATTTATAATTCTATTGAAGACATGCTTATACACAATTTAATCGATCAAACGAAAATATAAAAGATATTCTTTTTTATTCATGAGACATGCAAAGTCCTTTTGCTCAATGACATTAGAACATATGTTGATGTTCGTTTTATTATTACTTCTGTTTATTTACATTCATACTGAATGTATTTGAGTATGCCAACATGTGTGATAAAGAGACATGAATGCAGAACGGAAAATAAATATGTACATTAAATGTTGTTGGTTTTCTGAAGAAATGACATTGGGCACATTTTATATGTAGATGCTTTGTAAGTTAATCGAGTTGTATGCAGCGATGGAAATTTGTTGCTTTGCTTTTTTGGAATATTTTATTTTTTTCAGAAATTGAGGTTTTTTTGGATTTTTATGGCTTGACATTATTTAGACTATGATGGCTTATAGCTTCAGTATTTATAAATTGTGAAAGGAAGTCACAATGAGAGATTCGAACTTGAAGCATGTCTTTTTTTGTGAAGAAAGGAAAGAATCCAAATCAAAATGCTCAAAATGAAACGCTTAATTAAGAATGTCTAAAGATATTTCCAAGTCAATGGACATTTTGTTAAGAACTAGATTTGCCGGACTATCAAATTGGCTCATAAGCAGCATTTGTAATAATCAAGAATTTAAAACAAGCTCTTCAATATTAGAAATAAACTCTAAATCCTTCCCTTTTTAATTCCTTCATTCTGTCTTACAACTCCCTATTAAATGCCATAGCACCCACAACCTTCACCTCTAATATAAGGTACTATTTTATAAGCCAATAAACTTTCAAGCAAACAACAAGCAAAGCTATTGATCTTGTAAATTTTAGAAGAATCCTTAAATACTCACATAACAAGCGCATTGACTGACTCTAATCAGCGAAATGTATCCATCGAAAACTTATAATTCTTGAGCAAATATTGACATTTCATTTTAATTCATAATTTTGTTAACTTTAAATAATTTAATAAAAGCATTCAAGTTTGTAGTCCAGAATAAAATACAAAACCATAACAATATTCATTACATTCTTTCCTTACTCCAGTGCAGATCCTGAAATAAAATTATATAAAAAAGATCATAACGATGCTCGGGGAAGTAAATGGATATATTTTTAAGTGGCACAAATTTTATTACTGTGCCGGTCTTTACTCTTCCTTTACCATTCTCATCCCAGTATTGTAAAAATCATAAGCATTTATGATACGATGCAGCGATGGTGCAACGGAGATGAGAATTGCAGAAAAAATATCTCATTTCTATGCTTTTTACGACTCATAATGCCAACCAATATGAAAAATTCATTCCATGCTAAGATTATTATGACAACGACAAGTGGAAGGCAAACATTACAGAAATGGAAACTTATTCACTTATTTTCAACAAAAATACTCCATGATGAGTTGTTGTGCATTTTAAATAGCATTTTCTTGCTCCTTATTTAATGATCATACCTTTAGAACTATCTGACTTGCCGTCATCATTCATACGGATATGTTGTGTGCATTAAATTGCATTTGCATGCATTTCTGAATATGAAAACGGTTCGGAAGGCACAACAGAAAAACGACAATTTACGACATCTATATGTTGCATTATACAATAGCTGTTCTTCAACTTGCTGCCATTGTTGCTTGTTATACATACCCTTGCGCCTCCTCCCACCTCTCCTCATACATGTTTGAATAGAAAATTGCAAGGAACAAAAAAAGAAGGAATAAAAAATGTCAAAAATACTGTTTTCATGTTGTATAGCTTAAAATAAATCATAAGTGCTCTACTTTTTAGTAGCGTCGACAGGAAATGGTTGTGTGTAGTTTATTACCATTCTTCTCATTGGTGTATAATAAATTGTAAGTGACGCTTTTTTCAGTTCATGTTTAAAGTCTTTATTGATTTTATAATATCAGATTATGCTTAACATGAATGGGAAGAGAGGCAGACTCTCATTTGTTGTGGATTGGATAAAATGTTGTCGGTTTGTTGATTTTTGAGCAATTTATCCCAGAAATTGTACTTTTGGAAATGGTTACAGGGCCCGGTTTCTAAGGTTAGCTGGGCACTGTACTCGTGTTTTAGATTTATTTTATTTATAACCTATCTTGTAGTGTGCGAAATTAATTTCTTCGCTAGGGACATAGAACAGTGAATTCCAAACTATGTTCTATGTCGCAGGCTCGTGGCCAGGGGGTAGATTTGGGGGACAAATCCCCCTTCGTCGTGAGAAATTTCTTCATTTTGCTAGAGTTCTCATGAAAAACTCGGAAAATCTCACGAACCATATGTCGTGTACGGTTTTGGTTATCACTTACCATTAAGGTGTGTCGCCGACCAAAAAAGTTTGGAACATACTGCCCTAGACCTAAAAACTAGGCCCTGGATGGAAATGAAAAATATATCATTTTTAAATCTTAAAAGTTTTACTTAATCTTGCTAAGCTGCCTGAAAAATGCGCCTTATTCTAAATGAAAACACTCTTGAACTTCCATAAAGTCTTCCCCACTTCCTTTTCCTCGTCTTATTGAATTTAAATTTTTTTATGTATCGTGCTTCCACATTCAATCATGATAGCAATATGCAAACTTTTGAGTGGTATTTATGGATTCGAAGGAGTAAGAAGTAAACTTTTTCCAGAGCTTTTGTTATTATAAAAATTTTAATGGTTTGTTTGTGATATCATTTTTATAATTTATGGCAAATTTATGTTGTTTTTCTAGAACTTTTTTTTATTCCTCCCTTCTAATTGCTTTTTAATCATTATAAATAAGTCGATTTGTTTACCAATCTATGATAAATTGGCAATCGAGTCGATTGTGTGTTTTGAGAGGGATTTATGGAAAATATGGAGAGTGTTGGTTTGGTGGTTATGAGTGGGGATTAGATGGATTTAAAAGGAATTTAACTTATAGAAAGGATAAAATTTCAAGAAAAAAAATTTCATTTTTTGAAATTCATTTTCAAATTTTAAAATTTTTAAATTGCAAAAAAAATTAAATTGTCCAAAAATCAGCTTTACTCAAAACAAGAAATCCTTTCGCACCAAAAACCGTATTCAACACCTTCTCACATTCTCCAAATTCCTCAAATCATTCATTTTCCAATGGAAATTTCCACTAGAAGTCAGGGCTGACAGCCAAATTTCCACATTTCATTCCCATTCTGAAACTTATCATTCATCGTTTGTGTTGCTTTTGAATTTTTATTTAACATTCGTTGTTTATAGAATTTAATGCACTGCACTAATCATGAAAAAGCCACTAAATGTGGAAAATTTATGAAAAACGGAAATTTAAAACGTAAAACATCAATCATAATTTTTGGTATTTCCTTTATGGCTATTATTGGTGATACAGAAAATAACATGTGAATGCTTTATTTTTATGCATATAACTGTTTGAATTAGCTTTAGCTATAAATTTTATTAAAGCATTAGAATTTTATCTTCTAAAAATATAACCTCAAAATTTTGAATTTTCGACATCAAAAATCTGCAACCTCCTTTAACGCACCCTTATTTGAACTTTTTTTTTCTATCATTTTATTTGAATTCACAATCTGCTTTATTTATAGTGCATTAATAAAGTGAGAAAGCACATCATAGGGATGTCAATTTGATTGATCGACTAATATTTTCATTTTGATTTAAAAGCATAGATTGTATCTACATATAGAGCCGGAGCAGATCTATCTCGCACATATTTTATATGATTCAATATTATTTCTAAATATTAACATATCACGAATAAGTCGGAAGAACATGAATCGTCAATTTCAAATGAAAGCAACTGTATCAAATGTAAATAACTTTTCTTTATGGGGTGCGTCATTTTTAGCGTTTTTTTTGCTGGTGATTCGGAGAATAGTAAAGCATTTTTTAAATAAATATTTTAAATTTTTGAAAGTCTTTAAATTTGAATTTCGAAAGTCGGTAGTTTTGAATTTTTGAAGGTTGTTAATTTCGAATTTTCGAAGGTCGTAAATTTTGAGTTTTTGAAAATTTAGAATTTTCGAAATTCTTCAATTTTGAATTCTCGAAAATTCGTTAAATTTGAATTTATGATAGTCGTTAATTTTGAATTTTTGAGAGTCGTAATTTTTGAATTTTTTTAAAGTCGGTAATATGAGTTTTCGAAAATCGTTAAATTTACAGTTTTAAACATTGAATTTCTGCAAATTTTTGTATTTCTTGAATGCAAATTTAATTAAATGCGTTTTAGTAATTCATCAACAAAACCAACTTTATTTATTTCATCCACACATTCACATTCTTGATTTAATTGAGAGTAAGAATTTTTTCATGTTATCAATTCCTTATCATCGTTCATTTGTCATTTGCAAATAGATAACGCCGGTATTTTACTTTCAATATATGTGTACAGACACTAAGTTCATTGGTAAAATTAAGGCACACACAATTAATGATTTAGTTTGCGTTTGAATGTCAACGAAATCGGAAGTTTATCGTGGATAGAAATTTTGAATTAATTCTCATTAGTAATTTTAGTGATAATTAGGAGACTTAGGACAATAAATTTAAATAAAAAAGAACCAAAAAGTGCTCGAGTGGGAGCAAAAGATAAACGCATTAATGTGAATTAAAATCCAATATCGCAAAATGGCAAACAGTTTTTGCTTTCTAACCTTCCTGTTAATTATTAGCATTGTATTAGTTCATGCGAATAGTAAATGTGAGGCAATAAGGGACGACAGAATGAGAAATTCCTGGTGATTAAAATGAAATTTCATTTCTTTTTTTTTAGATTGTGTGAATCAAGATACGTGTGATAAATGTTTAAATCAGCATGTTAAATGTTCATGGTGCTCGGATCGGGTAAGCTGAAAATAATTCATGACATTACTCATGGGAAGAGATCCACAAACACGCATGAGAATAAAAAAAATGCACAAAAATAATTTATTTGTCATGAAAGTAAAAAAAAAAAAGATATGAAATTCTTGATAAGAAATTAACGCACACTAAAATATTATTTAATATTGACAGTTGATAAAAAATGTGTTACTATGTATTATGTTTACAAAATCACAAACCACATGCAGGTTTATTAGTGAATATTTATTTATAACAGAATGAATAATATGGGAGAAGCTTTGGAGTTCTATAGAATTATTAAATGATTTTTTTAAGGGAAAATTTGGTTCGTGTGTATTTTTACCGGCTTAAAAGCCTTTGTCAGTGATAAAGTATGGGTTTTGGCATCTTGGCAGGAAAGTAGTTAAGGGGGTTGGGGTTTCTGGTGGACATAGCTCTTTACGTCAACGAAAAATTTCTGGATTTTCCTAGGGTTGTTTTAAAAATATTAAAAATAAAGCCCACACTCCCACACTCTATATTTTTCCATCCAAAATCATGTTCCCTTCTTTAAATTCAAACTGGCAACGCTCCTACATCTTAGGCTATATCAAGTGCATTATATGAGTTTAACCATCACCTTTTTTTAGCTGTGATGTTAGTCATCTTCTCTTTATTAGGTTACTAGCTCTATATTCCATAGGGGGATGCACTTTAAACTTTCTACTGACATTCAGGATTTTTGGAAGCTTCAAAAATAATTTGTTTTCATTTAACGCAACTTGTGCATGACCCATATTCTGATGAAGACTAAATCTCCAATTAAAATCCAATCAACACAGAAATCTGATCCTTTTCCGTCTATTTCACTAAAATCTCTCTTAAAAATATCAGATTACCTAAACAATCTTGAAGAATCTCCAATTCATGAAGCTCTTGAAGCTTTCTTTTGTCTTTATTCTAAAAATAGTTCCATCAAGATGCTAAAACAATCCTTTTAAGATTCAAATTAATTCAATTTTCCATTCAATTATACCTAACATGTTCCATCCATAAAACTTTTTTTTTGTGCTAAAACAACTCAATTTGCAACTAAACATAACAACATCATTCACAAGAATCATCATCATCACCAATAGACACATCCACTCAAAATATTAATAAATTTTCTGCATTTTCATGTAAATGAGGAGGCAAAAAAAAGGAAGCTAGTGAATGAAAGAATGTTAAAAAGAGGAAACATGAATAAATTTCCTCACCCGTTCCATTCATCACATGCTTGATGCTTCATACAAACAGATCAATATTTATTTTTCTTCCTTTCTTCTTTTTTTCACGTCTTCCTCTTGATTTTTACGATGATTATTATCTGATTCAGCAATATGATATGCGTAGGGCAAGATGCATGACTGAAAGTGATTTGTTGGGTGGAAATTGTCGTCGTGAATTCATTCAGATTAATAAACAAAATCCGATGAATGTTATAAAAGATGATGACTTGCGGGACTTTAATAAAGATTTCGATTCCATCCAAATCCGACCCCAACATGTTCAATTGAAATTACAAAAGAATCGTCCACAAACAGTTCAATTGAATTATAAACCTGCGAAAAATTATCCACTAGATTTATATTTATTGATGGATCTCACATGGTCTATGCGTGATGACAAAGAGACATTGGTCAAGATGGGTGGCAGTTTGTCGAATTCATTGAGTAATTTAACGGAAAATTTTCGTCTCGGCTTCGGTTCATTTGCTGATAAACCGATTATGCCATACATCAATCCTGGCAGTGAAGATAATCCTTGTAAGCTTGTACATGATACATGTCTTCCAACATATGGATTTAAACATAAACTAGCACTGACGGAGAATATAAAACAATTTATTGAGCGTGTTAATGGAAGTGAAATTACCGGTAATTTGGATAATTTGGAAGGTGAGTGAAAAATAATAAGGGGAACTATAGCTCTAGTTGGGGGGCCTTAACAGGGATGTTGTCAGAAGATTGATTGACTTTTATCAGCCCTCTCGGGCAGATAAACCTAAAAACTAGAGAAATAATTTTTGTATGATCAGAAAAATTAAAAAGTTGAGGTCTTTTAAGCACATTTGAGTGATTTCTCACAATCTGGCTACACTCATGTATCTCAGTCAGGGAAAATGTGAGACAAGCTTTTGCATGGCCAAGTTAAACTGGTCCAGAAAGCATAAACATCCCTTATTTATGCTCATACATATCAACATCCCATTAAGCACCTTTTCCCCTTTTCAAAAACTAAACGACAACATTTCGATTGATTATTACAAATGATTAACATGCAATGCTTTTTAATTATCGTTCAGGCGGCCTCGATGCACTCATGCAAATCCTTGTATGTCGCGATGAAATTGGATGGAATGATAAGACTCGAAAAATTATTGTTTTTGCATCCGATGGACCAATGCATTTTGCTGGTGACGGATTATTAGCAGGTTTAATTGAGAAGAACGATAAGCGATGTCATTTGAATGATAAAGGCGAATATATGGCATCATTAGAGTACGACTATCCGTCACTCGAGGAAATTTATCGTGAATTGTTAAAAACAAAGGTCAGCGTCATTTTTGCTGTAACCATGGATGTTTTGTACCATTATGATCAATTACACGAGATAATGGAAGAAATTACGAGTGTGGGACAACTTGCAGCTGATTCCTCAAATATATTGCAGCTTGTCGAACATGGATTTTCAGAAGCTGTTAAACGAGCACTATTTCAAGACAATGCACCCGACTACGTTCGAGTCGAGTACAAAACAAAATGCGGTGAGAAATATGAGACACCACAAGAAACGAACAAATGTGATAACATTGAGATTGGAAAGGAATACGAGTTTTATGTCAGTCTAACTTTACTCGACTATCCAAAAGATGGTGCAAAAAATATCAAAATAAAAATTGAAGAAGCAAATATTGAAGCTGAAGGAACTGAGATTGATGTGGAAATTGATTATCCATGTACGGAATGTATGGCAGTGGCAGGTGAACCTGCATCAGCAATTTGCTTGAGGAATGGTGAATATAGATGTGGATCGTGTTTTTGCGATGCTGGATATGTTGGACGTCAGTAAGTTATGATAATCATATTTAATTTTGTTGGATTTTATGATATTACGGAAATCGATTAAGGATAGACTTATATGCCAGAAATGTAGCCCAATGAAGGGGTTTACTGGTGGTCAAAATTGAATTTTATTGACTTTTGGCTACGTATCTGGTTATGATAATATCTAATAAGCATCAATTTTCCAGATGCGAATGCAACCTTCAAGAATATTCAAGCAGCAAGGAGCTCGATAATCAATGTCGTCAACCTTATACAGTCAACAATGAGACAATCCTAGGACCGCATTGTTCAGACCGAGGAGAATGCCTTTGTGGACAATGCTTCTGCAATATAAATTACGATGGAAAGTATTGTGAATGCGAGTCATGTCCAATGTAAGTAAATCATCTGAATTCAATGCAAATAATTTTGCGTCCATATTTTTATTTATTTAATTAATTTTTATTTCTCTTATTTTGGAAAAAATAAAATATATTTTCGTTTATTCAAATGCAGACACAATGGTATAGAATGTAATGGTCATGCATTATATTGTGATTGCGGTGTTTGTCAGTGTCATCCAGAATATTCAGGAGACACATGTGAATGCTCAACCCTACAAACCAATTGCATTAGTCCAGATACTAAAATGTCAGATGACACCAACAAAATTTGTTCTGGACAAGGAACGTGCAAATGCAATCATTGTGATTGTAACGATGGCTACAGTGGGACATTTTGTGAAAGCACAGTCGGCAATGAAACGTACAGTTCACTGTGTGTGTTCTATGAGTCTTGTGCACAGTGTACTATAAACCGTAGGCTTGGACATGAATGTTTAGATTATGATGAGAAATGCTCACGAAATGGCATGCTGTATAAATCAGAATTTTATGATGATATCTCAGGTGAGTAGGTGTACAAAATTCCTTATTTTTAGATACCTTCAAAAAATTCCATCTCACGATGTTTGCCTACATGTTGAATATACTTAAAATATGCGTGAAATATGAAAAGTTTATGCTCACGTAGACTGTAAAAAAATATGATGAGAAAAAATGGTTTTATGTCAGAAAATTTTCCAAGTAAATTTTTTTCTTGCCTGTAAATTTCACATCAATCACATAAAATTTACTGGAAGAACAAGATGAAGACATCAAAAAAAAAAATTTATGGGATTTTAGATCCGATTTTGTAAAATGAAAATGACACCACGTTTGCTGCTTTTTTGATTGAATTGTTTGGAAGATTTTAAGTGGATTTTGGTTGGGAGGGATTTTGAGATCAGTTTTGTAGTAATCAAAATAATGTACAGGAGGGATTTAGGGGATTATTGTGAATTTATTTGATAGACTAAGTACTGAAATGTTTGGGATTTTATGGGATTACATGCGTTGATGGTTGGTTATTAAATTATTTAAATTCACATATTAAATCAAACGAATTTTGTAGTCTGTTGACATTTGTCAATCAAGACTTTAAGAAGTAATGCAAATGCAGTAATCAACACGTTTTATGATGCATCTGTCAGGTCACATCGTTGACATTTGGTGCTAAAATTCAAAGTAAAATGATAATCGATTTTTTGGGGAAACCCTGAGTGCTGTTTTAAGTTAAAGACGTATTTAAAATCCTATATTTGGTTTCAAGCATCTTAACCTGAAATAAAATTCTTCTTAAGTAACCCCAAATCACTCAAAAATCCCCACAGCATGCAATTCTAATCTCATTAGTCACCTGCTCCTTTCTCTCATGTCAAGTTTTTTTTTTATCAATTAGAACTTCCAATAGTACAAAAATCCCTCAATTTATATTCCTAAAAGTTTACACAAATAAAGCATCTAAAAAATGTTTTTTAATCCCTTCCGATCCTTATCAAACAATATTTATTTATCAAATTCACGTACAACTTCTCCTTTTTTTTTGTTGTTCCTGAATGAGAATAAAAAATATGTCAAATGTCATTCAACTCAACTGTTTACTAAACACGTTCAGCTGTATGCTTAACATCTACACATGATTTATGTATATTGTAAGCAAATATACAAAACGAATAAATTTACTTGGGATATGACAGAGTTTCGAAGTTGGATAAAAATAAACTTTAATCAGATATGCGATAACATGTGTAAACATGAAATCTGTAAACCTTTACATAATCTGTGTCTACTCCTTCTTCTTCTTCTTCAGCTTGGAGTGAATGCAGTTTTACAAAATACTTTGTGGGGTTGAATTTATAGCTTGTCAATATTTTTGTAATCATAGCAGTTCTATAGCGTAGGTTTTGAACCTTTATTCGTTCATGTAGTTGGAAATAGAATCATAAACCAACAGTGTAGACTAGAGTTGTTGCTTGTGGATATGGATCAAAGAACATATCTCTAGTAGATAGGCCTGAGCAAAGGGCTCGAGTTGAAACTGGTTATATGTGTTTGACGGATAACCCAAGTATGATAAGGACCTTGGTGGCTGAGTGGCAAGGATCTCTGATTGAATGGTCAGAGATCACCTCGTTTGAGATCGTGGGTTCGATTCCCATCGAGCCCGACTTATTTCTCATTAGTATAAGTCTAGGGATAAGTGCGATAATCGCTCTCTTGAGTATGAGAGGGAAAATGTATGCATATGAATGCATACCGCATGTAGAATGCTTATTGCTACATGATGCGACTTTCATGCATATATGTCGTATCCCTACATAAGCATGCAGCAGTTATAAGTAGATCTACACGCTACTTACTGATTCAAGCTCTTACTAAGAGTAAGCTCCTACTTGTTCGGGAGGAGTCTGAAAATCCTTTTTTTCGTTTAACATCATTACAAAACGTATCTAGTCTGAAACTTGCCCAGAACAATAATTAATCTTAAATTTAAAATGATACTCAAAAGTTATAATAAGAAGCCCTTTAAATCTATTGCACGTGTAAGTTTCCAAACAACTTCTTGTAGTTTTTCGTCTTATTCTTCTTCTGCTTGTTGTTTCATGGTGCGAGCAGATTCAGTCGATTGCTCTATGTAAGCAAAACCTTAAACAATTTTAATTGTAAACACTTATTTACATTATTGTTAACATGTGCTTCAATATTCAATTTATTATATTGTTAATCTCAACCTATCAATCTTATGCTATACATGATATCAATTTCTCTCTATTTGCAGATGCCAAAATAATATGCATAGCGCGTATTAGATATGATGATGATACAGTATGTGAATATAAATTTACATATGATTTAGATGAGAAATTAGAAACGAAAATAAGGATTGAGGATACAACATGTCCGCCTGTTAACGTTGCTGCATATTCAATTATCGCTGTTATCATTGCAACATTTTTAATTGGATTGTTAATCCTCATGATTATTAAATTCAATATGTATCTTGCTGATAAACGAGAATTTGCAAAGTTTCAAGAGGAACAGCAGATGCAGACTCAATATAAATTTGAGAGTCCAATTTATAAGTCTCCAGTCACGACGTTCTGTAATCCACAGAATTTTGAAAATTCACCGAATGTATTTGAATTGAAAGATTAAATTAAAATTTAGACTTTTTGAGATTTTTTGATGATGAACATTTTATGTACTTAACTAGTGTTTAATTATTAGATTTTTATGCTTTATCTTTTGGTTAGAAATAAAACTTTTTGATGAATTAATTGTTAAAATTGCTTAATTTTATTAAAATTGCAGAATTGCAGCGTTGGAGCAGAAGATTTGACTCACAAAGATCTCACAAAGACCTCCCTCCCCTCTCCCTCGCCTTTTCAGGATTTTTTTTTTCAGAGCATCCTTAAATCTCATATCAAATTGAGGAGCTTTACTAGTTTACAAAAAAATCATCAAGACTTAGTCCAATTTTAAAATATTAGTAAATGCATAAATATTCCTTGTAAGTATAGTAAATTCATTCAATAAATACTATTCTATATTAACAATATATGCAACTAGAGTAGACTAGTGTTGCTAATAAATTAACATTTAATTGATCTGTTGAATGATTTCCATATGTAATGAGCTATAAATAACAGTTACAGCAAAGCAAAATCTACACTTCTCATAATTCGCTCGTTGTATAGTTTTCAAGGTGATATGGAAACAGATGCCAAAATGAAAAATATATAAGTCAAGTAGATAAATACCAGCAAATGACCTTGAACATATTTTTTTTGTCAATCTTATTTATTCAATAAATTAAATCTAGGAATAGTCTTAGCGAATTTGCATTTGAAATGTACAAAATTTTGCTAATATCAGTATTTCCTGCTCATGTGCTGGGGAGTCGTTCATTAATTACGTTCGCTTCTCTTAATTTTGTAACAGTTCAAATTACTAAGTTTGATTAACATTGCATGAGAGGTCCAAAAATGAACGAAAATCAAATGTTTCTTTTTTTGAAATAAGTGATATCTGAATGACTTTTTCTTGGTGTTTCATATCTTATTGATTACTTTACTACAGGCGCATAGCCAGGGGGGATTTGGGGGGCAAATCCCCCTTCGTCGTGAGAAATTTCTTCATTTTGCTAGAGTTTTTATATAAAAACTTTTTATATAAAAAATACCCCCCCCCCCCCCCCTAAAAAGGTTTCCATACAAAAAAAAATTGTCTCCCCATTTTCAAATTCCTGACATGAAAAAGTCATGCATAATACCTTTAACATTGCTTTTTCAAAAAATGCAATGCTTTTTTTGCGGTACTGTCTGACTTTGAAATTCTCTATTTACAATTTTCTCTACAGAATCATTCAAAACCGTTCAAACTTAATATTCATATTTGTAACCTTTATTATTTTTCTTCACATTTAAACCTGTTTTGCATTTAATATGCGTCTATAGAATTTTTTGTATTTACTATCAAGGTGTGTTGTTCCGACAACACGTCACACGAAGGGATTTGACTAATGACAAGTTACCAGAGGAGAAGAAGAGTGTGCAAAACTGTTAAAATTGATCAAAAGTAAGTTCTTAATCAGACTTTAGCATTACGTAATTTCCGAACGGTTCCCAAAGTACAAAAAATTTCAATCTACTTAGCTTTTAATTGGAAGTTAACTATCATCATTATAATTATCCTTAATATTATCATATACAATGTCATCACAATTATGACTTCCTCATAGGTGCTATTAAGTTGAAGAAATTGCAGAAGCTTTTCAGGTTTTGCATAATGACAATAAATATCATCACAATCAAGTTGAGTCCGATTGAATCCAAAAATTGTTATTTTCATTCCTTCGGTAGCATAATTGAGAAATGTTGTCTTAAATAGTGAACCTATTAATGGATGAGCATCTTTCTGTAATATAAATGTCCCTGATAATGCGATTTGATGGATCATCAGAAATGGTGCGATGATTAAAGCAAGCTGTGAAAAAAATGTTCATTTTCTGTTGACATTTGACAAATAAAGGTGCAAAAAAAGTATATATACACACCAAGACACTTTTAACGGATCCAGCAAGCAATCCAATATTTTGTGAGTTATAACTTAAAAGCAATAAAATTAAAAAGCAACTTCCAAATCGAAACAATTCAGGCGGTTGATTTGTCATAATGTACATGGGAATCAGGAACAAAAGAACACACACAATGGTTATTGGACAGTCGGTGATGAAAAGTGCTATATTGAAGATTCTTGGTGAGTACCAATTATTAAAGCATTCTCGTTTGATGACTTTGTTGTGTGTTGGAACTGTAGGATGAGAATTATTTTCATTTGAGTATGGGATTTTATAATTTATTCTGTAGCAGGTCAAACTTTAAATGTGGTGGATTTATATGACTTAACAAAATGATTTTGGAATATTTAAATGGTGAAATAATGGCTCTCCAATGAATAAGAGAGATTAATGTCTCACTTTTGAAACGGATACAGAGTTGATTTTATGTTGACACTCTTTCAATGACTTGCCAAATTATTGGTTTATTGTGTCAAACAAGAACAGAACTTACAAAGATCACGAATAGCATATCTCTAAACAGGTAAAGTATTTTACATAGGCATTAAATGCTTTGGTATTTAAAGGGCATCATCTTATAGCTGACGTCACAGCATACAAAATTAAATAGCAAAAATAGGTATGTTGCTTAAGGCATTGAATGTCATGCTGAGATTATAAGTCAGAGTTGAAAAGCTAGTGTTTTTGTTCCTTACTTAGCGTCAGTATAATTAGCAACATTGAAGGTTAGATTATTTTAAATTCTAGTAAATAAGAGGAACCATTTTTTTAAGGAAAGGATCTACACTTCCTTCTTGGTCTTCTTGAACCACTCTGGGAACGAAATTAAATCCGTTTGGGATATAAATAAATTAATCTGAGACTTTCATAGGGTAGGGTAGCCTTAGAAACCAATCTTAATTGTTCAGAACCCGGTGCTAAAGAATTGTTCTCCACCCATTGAAATTGTCAATCCCATTCAAACCGCAATCTATTGAACAATCTAATTCCCAACCCTGTAATAAGCCACAACCAAAACAAGTATGTGTCTAACAAAAGCCAATTTCAGTAACACGACCAAATGTAATTACTTTTCAATCATAAAATATTATTTAATACTCACACAGTGTTATTTGCGAATACAATGATGTATAGACTAAAAGTATCATAACTCCAATTAAAAGTCGAAAATCTTTGAAAACACTTGATGCATCGTTGCCAATTTGCCAGAATGTGAAACCAACAAGAACGCCTAGGAACAGATGAGCAAATAGCCTAAAATATGTGTATGTAAAATCTCTCAAGATTATCGAAACATTTCTCTGCATTAAGTAGAGTAATTGACTATTAAATGTGGGTATTGGATATGCCTCAAACTCATCAGTTTCAGATCTCTCTTCATACTTTAAGCTGTGACAAAAATTTTCATTCCGTCCATTTTCTATTTGATTGATTAAATCACAATTTCGTTCACCATAAATATCATTTGCAATTTCCATGAGATAATCTATTGGATTATAAGTCTGTGGACACTGAAAATCAATTTCCTTAAGGAATTTCAGTAAATTCTTCAAGCTTCCTTGATATATGCATTGACCATTTGCCACAGCATAAATATGATCGAACATTTCCAGCATTAATGTTGATGGCTGATGAATTGTACAAATTATCGTATGTCCTTTATAAACTAGTTGCCTCAGTAGCTTGATGCATTGATATGACGATGCAGAATCAAGTCCTGACGTGCATTCATCCAAAAAGATAATTTTTGGATCATTAATAATTTCAAGGGCAATTGAAAGTCTTTTGCATTGACCCCCGCTAAGATGCTTGACAAATGTCTTTTCATGACCTTCAAGACTAAACATTTTTAAAATTTTCGAGATTTTTGAGATTATTGCTGGGCTTAATGGTATTCCTATTTTAAGTTTTACGGCATATTTCATTGATTCTAAGACTGTAAGTAATCCATACATGTGACTTTCTTGCATGACATATGCTATCTGATTTTTATATAATTTAATATCATCTCCATTAACTTTGATATTTCCACTAATACCTTTTCTTCTATATCTGGCTATGGCATTTAGAAGTGATGTTTTTCCACTTCCAGATGGACCAACGATTGCTGTTAATTCTCCACCTTGAAACCGTCCATTGATATTTTTTAAGATTTGTTTCTGTTCTGTGATTTTTTAAATAATTTTTAAATTTAAGATTTTTTTAAAATTTCAAATTCTTTACAATTAGTTTTTAAATTATTATTTTTTTTAACTTTTAAAATCGTTAAAAATCACTTCCAAACTTACTGTTTTTTAATAATCCATCAGTTCCATAATAATTTAAGTCACTAAACCTTATTGTTAAATTTTTATTCACATCCATTTCAACGATCTAATGTCTACTAAACTTAATATTTTATTTTCTCAACGATATGTGCTGTTTTTTTTTCAAATAACACTGGAACTAAAGAGTAAAATAGTGATAGTGATGAACTTGTCACGATCCGAGAGTTTTTGAGTTAACTGAGAGAGATTCTTTAAGCAGCTTTACAAATAAAAACTCTCAATAAATTTATGTTTTTAACTTTGAGAATGAACTGTCAATATGCGTTAGATTAAGTCTGTGAATTTTCGGGAGAGACTTTTGGAATGATCAATATTATAAGATAGATCTCGCGAATTTCTTGAGAATTGTTTAGATGTATTGTAGCATTCAGCATGTGAGATATTTAATTAAGTTCTCTCATTGTTTGTATCTTTTATTGATACACAACCTTTGCTGACTCAGCTTGTTTATTGTTGTTGTATGGATATGCAAATTGAATGACTTAGCAGATAAAATGAAGAAACGGAAACGAATGGAAATTTTGTGAATATTTCTCACATAAAAATTCATTAAAGTGATTTTTCATTGCCATTTATGTTTGAAATGAATTAATTCTAAGATTCTCTGTTTGATTTTTTAAGAACATGCTGTAGAAATCTGTTTTAATTTTAAAATAAAACTAGTATGATTTTTCTTCACATATGAAAAAAAAATTTACAATAAACTAAAGTCAGGAAATCATTTGAAAGTTTCAAGTAAAATAAAATGCATTTTTGGCGGAAAAATTCTTTTTTATCTACCCAAAAAGGGTTCTCTTTGATCAAATTTATTTTTGCACGTTTGAGGAACAAGGTCAAAGACAGGAATGAGGCTTAAACCAAAAAAGGTCAGTTGAGATTTGCTCATACAAATCAAACATCAAAAAGAAACTAGAAACTCCTTTCAAAGATTAAGTTCTAACCAGGATTCAAACCAAGTAAATATACAATTCGTAATATTTACAATCCACAACTGTCAATATTAATTTTGTATCATCTCCTAAAAAATACCGGATTTTATAAATATTTGCTGTGAATTTTAAACACGAAAAAAGTTTTAATTCCGGATTATCAATCAGTGGTAAATATTCAAGAGAATTGAAAAGAATTTTGACTCGAATGAGATTTGAAACGTTTTTGACAGACAATCATTCAATCCAATAATTGGAAGTGAGAGATCAAAATTGAGAGAATTTTTCGAGGTCAACAATCGAAAAAAATTGCAATGAATTATTTAAAATTTGTAAAATTAAAAGGACGATGATCTTTGTGACTTCACAATTTGTTTTCTTGATTTTCGGTGAAATTTTTCAAAGTGACAATGATTTTGTAAACGAGTTCTGAAGATGATGTTGCAATATATGTTTAGATTCTCTTGACATTTTTGTCATTATAACAAGAAACTTTGTTTATTTGGAAATTCATTTTTATGCAGAATTAAATCAATTCCTTGATTCTTAAAATCTTCCTATGCTCATCAGTTTTAGATCTTTTCAATAAGTTGTTTGACAGTTGATTTAAAAACTATAAAGGATATTCTGCTCAATATTAAATAGGAATTGTTTAAATTATTTATTTAAATAAAATGCAAAGTTCAAAAAAAATCTTTTCATAAACTAATTCAGTTTCTTGACCAAACAACCTGTTTGCAAGACTTAAAAATCATGATTTCCCAAAAATTTTTTATCTTTTGTTGGTTTTATTTTGGACATATTTTGATGAAAAAAAAATCAAAATGACGTCATTAAATTTGTGAAAATTCCCTCATGCGATAAGGTTGAATCAAGGCTGAATGATTTCAATTCTGCGAATTTTTTCACTATCAAATATTTTGTCTTATAACGTATCGAGTCCAAAATGCATATGCGCATGTTGTTCTGATTTTGGTTTCTGCATCACTTACACTATTTTAAAATTTGTCAAAATTTCAAATTATTTTTAAAATTTTAAACTTTTTTCAGCAACTTTTTCATTCATTATTTTGCTAAATTGATCACAGTCCTTTGATTAGTTTTCATTTTAATCATCATCTGACATATTTTCATGGTCACATAGTACACAAATTTATATTTCACACACAAAGCCGAAAAATCAACACCAACGTGCCTAATTCTACATGCATTTTCTGATCGTGAACTCTAATAACCTCTTTGCTTAATTTTTTCGTGTGTTTTACTTTGAATTGATTGAAAATTCATCGGCTGAAGACCTTTTTATACTAATTTTGAAGCAGTAGAAAGTAAACAGCCATGAATAATTCAATTTATTCTTGAAATTTGGCAATAAAATGATACAAAATTAAATTCACGAGTTGCTACGAGACCGCTCGCTCGAAAAAGACTAAAAAATTTACTTTATTTCGCTTCTGTCTTTATCAATGTGTCAGTTTTAAGAGCTTAAGATGATAACAAAGTCTGTAAATGTATGAAAGTTACTTCATTCCCTCTCAAAACACGTGAGCTGTAAATTCTCTCGGTTTCTTGATTTGTTTATGAATGAAAAATCTATGAACTTGAAAGTTATTGGAGCAAGAAGCCGGTTCTATTTGGAGTACGCGTGTTGTTGAGATAACAAATGATTCATTGTGCCGTTGATAAAAATTGAAGGGATTTAAATTGTGCAAAGTTGGTATTGCCTTGAAATTATCTTGGTATTAAGGATTTACTTTTGCTTTTTTTTTATATTTTATTTTCTGTACTCAATTTTAATCAGGCGAATACATTCAACTGGTATAAAAGTGATTTCTCGTGATTGACAGAAGCGCATTTTAATGACAAAGCAATAAAAACTTACTGGTGATCAGAGCTCGAAGTTGACTCGAAATTTTCATCGATTTTGTATGGCGGAGTCAATTTCGAGTCCATACAAAATTTCATCGACTTCGAGCTCTGCTCAAGCTCTGCTGACGATCATCAAAGATCAAAAATTATTCAGCATGCATTAGCAAGTGACTTAAAGAACCATACTCCGTGCTTTGTTAATCCATTTGTATATTTTTGATCATTTTGATCAGTTCCACACCTTTATTTTGACCAACTCTATCCATATATACCTAATCAGTATGCTTGATCACAAATGTTCTAAATTTGAATGTCGCAAATTAGCTTAGGTTCTTAGAAAATATATTCTCAATGCCAAATGGGAAATCAAATTACTAGGAAGCTAATAGAAGCTTTTGACAAAAGTGAACGTGCATGTGAATAATTTGATGAATGGTGAATAACTGGAGTGTCTACATGTCTTAGAATTTTGAAAGAATAATTTTTAATTATTACAGGAATTTGCACTATTAAATCTTTTGTTCTTGTTGATCTTTGTTAAATAATAATTTGGATTTAAGAATATTTTAAATTTCAATTTTAATCCATTGTAATTATTTTAATATCTTTAAACATTTTAACTACTGAATCTAATTTTATTTTAAATATCCGAAGCAAAACAAATTGATCATGTCCGAGTAGTTGTTGAATAAAATCAATACTTTTCGGTAATTAAGAAACTTAATTGCATGGAGAAAATTGATGTCAATAAAATTTGATGGCTTATTAGTTTCGATTAGAGCTTCAGAACTTATTTTCATTCTTATATCACAGCATGGAATATTTTTTAAGGAAGTAGTTTTAAAAACAAATTAATTAATAAAAAAATACACAAATAAATACGGAGAAATTGAATAGCTTCACCTGCAGAGACTTCATTCACTAAACTTATAATTAAAGCTTCTGAATAGCTCGCACAGAAAACATCAAACTACTTTTTATGCGAGCCAAGTAGAAAAACAAAAGCATCGAGCTTAAGTACATTATTACAGCATAACAATTCAAAGAAATATGAACAATAGAATTCAGACGAGTTTTGATGTATTGATCAATAAACAATCGTATAATAATGAAAATTATTAATTAATCAATTTATTCTTTGGTATTGAACAAAACTAAATTGAATTTAATAATTAATAGCTGAAGAACAATTCCAATTGTATTGAAAGTGAGAGAAAATGATCTCAATTAATTTTGCTGACAGTGCAGAAAGTAATTAGTGATGATAATTATTTATGATGGCAAGAATTGAGATGTACTTTGTAATAAATGATTTGTCCTTAGCTATTTTTAATGTAGTTCATAATTACAAAGATTATTTGATCTTGTTTATGATGGATTGAAGTAGATTGAAGATTATTTCGAATGACAATGACTTTCAATGGTCCTAAGAAGTGCTGTGCTGTTGTTCTGCCAACACGATTCAGTTCTGGAGGAGCCTTGACAGTGATGGTAGTTGATAGTCAATTAAAAGCTAGAAAGAAAGCTAGTTTTTATTATTTTTGAAATAACACACAGATTTCGACCCCTTTTGCATCTTTAAAGACATTAGCCCAGTTCCAATGGAGCTAAAATTATGATGAAAGACATCAAATTATTGTGAATAATTAAGCATTACCTTTTGCTTGTTTTAGATGCCTTATTGCATACTCGTACTATGAATGTGTACACCCATGATGTTCATGTCTAAGAAATGTTAACATATTTCATAAATTACAACAATTATTGATTAAGTCAGAATAGTTTTAGGTGTGAACAGTCGATGATGAGAATTTACAGATTGTTGATAAAATATTTTAGCTAAGGATCGATTTTTGAAGTTATTAGAGTACTTATTGAAAGACAGCACATTCCAGACACAGTGGAAATGGCAATAAATTTCAAAAATCCACCTCAGTGCAATTAAATGATGACAAGTCTTCACATAACTTCCTCCAGATGACAACATCAGTTTCCTCTCCAAGACTTTACATTTCATAGAAACTCCAAACATGGCAATTACAAATTGTCGCAAGACAAAATTAATTCAGCAATAAATAATCAATTAATTAATTGCACCAACATTATATGCTGTGTCTGTCAAGTAGCTGAAAGTCTGTCATGTTTTTAATTTCCAGCACCAAATATGTTCTGATAAAAATTCAACAACCGTTTAATAAATCATTAAATTCGCAACAAATCACAGCCTACAGTTAGAGTAAGTAGGCAAAAAAAACATCATAAAAGAAACGACAACTTTTATGAGAGAATAAAAGCGATTTGAAGACAACAGAAAAAAAAAAAAATATTTCTCAATCTCAACAAATGCCGCTTATCTCAATGTTTTTTAACTCATAAAACTTTATTACACATTTAAGAAAATTGTTTGCATGTGTCTCAATCTAAATGAGACTGAAATCAAATTTTAAACACACAATAAACATAAAACTAATTTAACATATTAGAGAGAAGAAAAAAAAAGTATATCTTTAATTGAGAGGTAGCTTAAAGAGTAAAAAATTGAAGTAAATGCAAATAATAATAGAGAGAAAAATGTGTTTGAGAGGGAGAAGTGGAACTAAGCATTATTTTGTTGAATTTTTTTTGAATAGGAAAATATTGTAAAGGTATAAATTTTTAGGCAAAATAATTACTTCTAATAGTTGGTTTTTGGCAGTTTGAGGGTGCAAATGTAACTTTGTAGAGAAAAATAAAATAAAATATAGTTTTTAAAAAGTTTGTGGTTAAGAAAAAAAAATCCAATTAAAGTGCATTTAAATTGATAATAAAACTAGTAGATGTGTATGAAAAATTGTTAAAATAACTTAATTTTTAATTACAATTTTACAAAGTAAGTAGAGTTTATAAAAGGCATTTAAAATATTGTTTTTGAATTTTCTGAAAAAACTTATTTGATTTTAAAATGTTTGGAGTCATCAAAACTAGCAAAATCAGAATTTTCAGGAGCTTATCGTCATATTATGTTGTCTTCACTTGAATTCAAACTCTTAACATAAAAAGCACAAGTTTCAAATGCATGTGCTAGCAATGATGTCTCTTAAAATGATGTACTCGTCCTAGCGTCTCTCCGAGAGTTTTAATTAGCTTGTGATTGTTTCTTGGATTTTTTGATTGTCGATTTTAATCAAAAAATGGGCTTTTTCTTGGCATTCACGATTTCCCAGACCTGCAAAATTATTGGAAACGGGGCAAAATTTAAAACTCAAATATCAAGCATGGTTCTCGACATTTCAAAGTTTTTTTATGTTTGAATGATGCTTCATTTCAATTAAGATAATTAGACATCAAAATATTTGGATAATTATTTTAATTCAGTTGTAAAAATTTGCTTTCTGTCCCGTGAATTGCTGGAACGGGAAATCGTGAAAGCGTAGCAATGTCCCGACTTCATCTCTGATAAAGAAGGACTGACCAAATTCTGTACCATTTTCAAAAAATAATTGGTTAAATAAAGCCAAGAAATTAAGGACAGTCTAATAATAAATCACTCATTTCAAGATAATTTAAAAATTCAAATCTTTAGAATCAAATTACAAGAAATCAATCCTGAATTGTTAAACTAAAATATTTCTACAAGCTTTAATTTCCATACATATTCTAAGTCATAAACTTAAACTCAAGCAATCCAAAACAATGGAAATAATTCACAGAAAATATTCTCAATTGAGCGGAAAAACTTAATTATCGTTATTGAATAATTACCAGTAATGAAAACTTAAATCTTGCGAAAAAAAGCACATTCAATGACTTAACGGAATTCAAATTTTGCTTTATATTCTTTGATGCGCAAGTTAACAATGAATTCAGTGATTCCACGGCTTTAAATGCTGTATTCCATTGAAAATCGATTTTTTATTTCATTACAATGTATTTGCTGTGATTCCCATCATGAGATGCTCAATTATGCTTTAATTTCTGAAGATATAAAAAATTTGGTCTTTAATTTTTGAATGTCATAATTGTTGTAAAGAAAAACGAAAGTCAATTTGAAAGTACGATGCTGTCACAGGTGCTATTATGCTCAATGAATCAGATTCATGCGAAAAATAAGAAGCATAATGTGTGTGAATGAGAATTATTGAGCTAATTGATGTCGATTACTTAATAATTAGTGAGTCTAGTGCCTTTATATGGACAATGAAAAGTAGAGCAAATATTTTTGAGATATTAGTCATGGGAACTGAACTTTTTGGAAGTGAATCTCTAGAGAATCTGATTTCTTAATTTAAGCTTTTTGTGAGCTATTTTTTGGAAGGAATTAAAGTTAAAAGAGTCAATTAATTAGTTCAGTTCATTAGTTTTATTAATTAAGTGTATAAGCTTAAATTCTAAGATTTTATGGAATCAAGCACTGAAAAGTTCTAAATTGGAAAACCAGATTTTTGAGATTCATCAGCGCTATGTGCTTTACAGGGACTCCTTAGTGCTTCATTATTGTTATAAATTTTCTGATCCAAGATTTTAATATCCTGCAATTTCCTATTAAACTAATAAAGACATTAATCATTAGAATCAACGACCGTGAATTCAAGCAACGTGTCAAGAAAGTCACCGAAAACAATGACGAATTGCACATAAAATTAATTTATAATTATAGCCGGCAAAATTCATAAGCACATAAAACAATGTGTGCAGCAACACCTCAGTTATAAAACAAAGTACGGATTAAAAAAATATGAAAATCAGTGCAAATTGAGAAATTAAGCATAAGCTAATGAGTAAAGTCATCAGTCGAAAATAAAAGCATTTATTGGATCGTGTATAACGCAAATGAATGCACAAAAATAATTAAGCAACGAACTGTGAACTATTTCATTGACCGCATGCGAATCTTTGACAATATTTTGACTTCATTGAACACTTTTTGACCTTTCACATTTAGTCACGATGTATAGGCATCAAAAAAAATTATGTAATTTCATGGTAATTATTAGAAGAACTAAGAAATTAAAATTAGTCCTATGGCCTTTCATCCCATTTAATTCAGTTCAATCATGCATGTGTCAATACTTGCTAATTTGATCAATTAAAGAACTATAAGTGTACCGAATTTTCATATTCAGAAAAGTGTGAAGGACAGTCATGCATTTTTAATTAATTTCACTGTCTGCTGCCGGCAGTTTATGGTTAAAACCCGGAAATTTTTTTGATGATGTTTCTTATAAAAATTAATGGTCGCGATTCATATGAATAATCTTGAAAATTTTAACATTTTATGTAATTTAAAACCGAGTTCTAATGGATTTTATTATAACAAGACCATGAAAATATAATGCGTGGTTTCTTGGCTTAGATTAGTTTAATATTGAGTAGTCAGGGAGGGGAGTTGATGGTGGTTCCTGTCTTTCGCAAATGGCTTCTGCAAAATAATTGAAGCTGCACATTTAAAAAATTATGGTAGGGGGGGTGCCAAAAATAAGTCCTTGTCCACACAATTAAAATAATATTAAGTTTCCAAATATCCTCGAACAGCTCAATTTAAGTGGCAACTTTTAAATTGCCACTATAATTTTTATATAAGTGAATAATAATATATCATCTCTGTTGCATTGTTATAAATGATGTTTACTCTCAATTATATAGGTGATTACTTTTTTGGTTAAAGTTATCTAACAGCCTACATGCTCGAAAATCATCCACTGTAGCATTTTGTAACATTAATTCAATTTATTTGCGAATATATCATAAACCATGATGTTGCCGATTTTTTTTTGGGCAGAAATATTTTATTTTAAAGTTTCATTTCAGTTTACAGTTGCAGTTTGAAGAGTGCAGAGTGAATTGAAAGTTTTCAAGAGCTGCAATATATTTTATTTTGTGAAAAACAGTTTTAAAGTAAATATTTGAATTTACAGTTTTACTCGAGAATTATAAAAATTTGGGTTGTGAGAGTTTTTGACTTTTGAATCAGTTTTGGCAAAGCTTCTGTCTCCAACAACTTCAACCTGATAGGATGAATTTAAAATCAATTTAAATATCCCAATCTCCGGAAATTCCCATATTTCTAGTTATTTCACTTAGTTGATAATCAAACTCATTTTAAAACTAATAAAAATGTAAATCGATAACATAACTCACTTCGTGGGCTTACTAATTCCGACATTCAAATCACTAACCATAAAGTTATTACATCCATCAGCGAAAGTACTTTTATTTTTATCGAAAAAACAACCAACCTTCTTTCTTACTCAATTTAATTACTGTTGCTCGAATTTAAAGATTTTTTAAATCTTTATTTTTTTATTTTCTTCTTTTTTCATCATCTCAAACTCAAGGCTTTTAATTAACGAAAGTCATTAAAAAGCATATTTTTTTTTTCATTTACTTACAGATGAGATTTCTAATACTTGCGGCATTTTTGATTAGCTCAACGCTTGCCATTAAAGTGCCAGCGACATCATATTTTACATATCATCATGGTGGATCAATACCAAGTCAAAATGCAGCAATTGGCCCACAATTTTCACAGCCAGTAAATTATTATGGATCATTTTTAGATTCGTCATTAAAAGTTCCGACCCAAATGTGTCCTCCGACACCACCTCCGTGCACAAAATCTCGCTATCGTTCACTTGATGGATCATGCAATAATTTATATAATCCATCATGGGGTGTTGCAAACAGCAGATATGGGAGATTATTGACGCCTCGTTATGGTGATGGAGTGTCAAGTCCTACAGCTTCAGTCACTGGACATGAATTGCCAAATGCAAGACTGATCTCATTAACTGTTTTTGGTGAAAGTGATGTCCCTGATAGAGGTTTAACAATTGCAAATATGCAATGGGGTCAGATAGTAACACATGATATGTCACTGACAGCTGGTGGAACTCAGTCGAGAAAGCATACAACAAGATGTTGCACGGATGATGGAAAGTTGATTCAAAGTGGTTTACATTCGACTTGTTTCCCAATTATTGTACCTAAAAATGATCCAGCACATTCACAAACTGGAACTGAATGTATGAATTTCGTTCGTACGCTTACTGATCGAGACAATTTCTGTCCTGATAAGACACAAAAAAGCTATGCTGAACAGTTGTCTGTCGTGACTGCCTACATGGATCTATCACATGTTTATGGAAATTCTGAAGAGCAAAATCGTCCGATTCGTTCATTTGTTAGTGGACGATTGTTGGTTGATAATAAACAAGGTTTCGAATACCCACCACAACATCCAAATGCCTCAACAACATGTGATCTCCAGACACCACAAGAGACTTGCTATTTAGGTGGTGATATGCGTATTAATCAAAATCCAGGCTTAACAATCATGCAAATCATTCTTCTTCGTGAGCACAATCGTATTGCTGACAATTTACAGGCATTGAATCAACATTGGGATGATGAGACCATTTTCCAAGAAGCTCGTCGCATCAACATTGCTCAGTTCCAACATGTTAATTATTATGAATGGGTGAGTTGAATGTCTTTTCTAGTTTATTAAATTCAATATCTTGAATGAATTTTGTCATTCTCAAAATAGCGTGTAAATCTAGTTCTGAACTTTAATCAAATGCATTACAAAATGTTCAATCCAAACTTGAATCTAATAAAATTTCTTATGCAAGAGTTCCCACATGACATTTAATAGATTCAACTTTTATTAATATTAAAAAGTTTATTGACTAACATTCTATGTACATTTTTGCATATTTCATCTAAAAGTCAATAACTCTTTACTATAAAATTGATATCAAAATTTTTCCCCATAGCTTCCAATCATGCTCGGTCACGAAAACATGCTAAAGAATGAATTGATTTATCAGACAAGTCATGGAGACTATGTTAATGATTACAATCCAAATATTGATCCATCAGTGTTAAATTCACATGCTACTGCAGCTTTCCGTTATTTCCACACACAAATTGAAGGACAGTTAGAGTAAGTTTAATTAATATTTTTGTTTTTTTCATCATTCACATTGACTGTAGGTCAATTTTAAAATATTTGAATTGTGGGCTGAGCAGCACAGCAACTGAATGATTTTCACGATTTGTGATTCAATATATTTTTATAGGAGATATGAGCAGGTTTTGAAATAATCTATTTCCCAATATTCATGCATTAGATTTATTGCAAATTAACCATTTCAACATTCGCTTCTGTTCCAAAAATATATAGCTCCAATTATTTTATTTACTTTATTTCAGTTTCGTCGCTGAAGAACGAACAATCTCCAACACAATAAGATTGAGTGATTGGTTTAATAGACCCGTTGTTGTTGAGTCGGGCGATAATTTTGATTTTCTTAGTCGCGGAATGACAACTCAACCGCAAGAAACGACCGACATTAATAATGATGTTGAAGTCAAACACTTCCTATTTAGACGTGGCAGACCATTCGGGTTGGACTTGAAGGCGTTTGATATTCAACGTAATCGTGACCATGGATTGGCATCTTATAATGATTTTAGAGAGTTCTGTGGTGTTGGAAGGGCTCATGGATGGCAGGACTTCATTGACTTTATTTCACCTGCTGTAAGTATTATTTTGGGAGACAATTGTTATGGACATTTAAGTCACATTACCTAAGTGTTTCACATCCTAAACAGCTATTAGCTTTGCCACTGAATATAAACATTCCAAAATTATTTTAATTTCCACAGAATGTCGACAAATTAAAGGCACTTTATGAGAGTCACGAAGATGTAGAATTAACAGTGGGTGGTGCACTTGAAAGACACGTCGATGGCGCGCTTGCAGGTCCAACATTTTTATGCATTCTAACGGAACAATTTTATAGAACACGTGTCGCTGATCGTTTCTTCTATGAGCGTGGCGATTCCAATACTGCATTTACATCAGAACAATTAAATGAAATTCGTAAGACAAGCATGGCACGTTTATTCTGTGATAATGGAAATAATATACAACAAATGCAGCCAGCAGCTTTCCGAAGAGTTTCACCCAAGTATGAATAAAACTTCTAAGTATGTCTAGGTAATTTAACATGACCAATTCTTTTGTTTACAGCAACCAAATCACATCGTGCTCAAATATTCCATATGTTGATTTATCTCTGTGGCGAGATCATTCGGTTCCAGCATTTAAGAGTGACTACACAATTTATAATGCACCATTGTTAGTCAAGAATTAAAATCGAGATTATGACCCATTTGTTATTATTCTTTTTGTAGCTTTAAGCTTCATTTTTTCCTGTATTTAAATTAATTTGAATTATTTTTTTTGTGTAATTAATTTATGAAATCTGATTTTTTTGAAAGAACTAATCTAAACTAGTTCTTTAGAACAATTTCGTGAATAAAAAAAAATAATAATAATTTTTTATACCTCATTAGTGAATGTCTTGCAATTTCTGGTTTTACGATGTTAATCTTCATGGGACAACTACTGTGCTGATTGTCATCAAAAGATTAAAATAAACATGATTCAATTACATATATCATTAAAACGTTTTGTAGGTTTGCATGCTTTTGAGCAATGTATTTCTGTAATATATTTATTGCAACTTGACATTGCTCGATGGAAAATGTTGGTTGGATTGAATGAACTTTTAAGCAAAAATCAGAAGTTATGCAAAATAAGGGAGTTCCTGAACTTTTATGAATATTTAAGGCTTCTCAAGATTACTTGACTTCTCTAGGAGTCGTTCACTTATTACGTAATGCGAAAAAATGACTTTTTTAAGGCCCCTCGCCCTCTTGTAAAAAAATTTTTGTGCAAAATTTTTATTTGTTTAAACCATAACAAAATATTAAGCCCCCCCTCCTTAAAAGCATTACGTAGGAAGTGCACGGCATACATGCCTAGCTATTAAGGGGATCATTTATGAAGTCCAAGGGGTATGGGGGGGGGGGGGGGTCAGCAAGAAAAGAACAATAGAAATTTCTGAAAATCCAACCGTTATTTTCGGACGTCATAAGTGGCATTTTACGATTTTTCTCGTTTATCGTTTTTATGAAAAAATTAAATTAAAATTTATCCTTTACCCTCCCTTCAAATTCCTGGCTAAGCACCTGCTTCTTGTCTTTAAAAATTATTTTGAATTAATTCAGAAGCTTTGTTTTAATTATGGGTCTATAAAGTCAAATTTTGCATCATTCACAAATTAAACGGTTCCATAAACAGAACAGATAAACATTTTTAATCCCCAATTCAGAATAATCCACAACCAAACAGAATCTCATCATTACAACATTAATTAATTGAAGTAATCAAAATGACCTATAAAACACAAATATTATATTACCTTTATTAATTATGTCACATCTTCGACATTTAGTTCAAGATTGTTATTACGTTGATGTTCATTTCCTGTCTAAAACAGGTCATTTGAAGAAATGAAGTGTGTAATTCAAATTGACAGATTACAAGCATCTTCCAACGAAGATACCACATAAAAATAGATCATATTCTGAGATAAAATAAGACAAAATAAATTCCATGCTTGTCCAACACGTGGAAAATCTGAGCATCATATCCTCAATCATAATCTGTTTATTTGATAATTTTCCTTTCTCATCCCCAAAACTAAAGCACATCAATTTCATCTCCATGAAAAGGTATAAAGAAAAATATTTTTGTTTCATTTAACCTCAGCAGAAGTGAGGCAGTTTTTGATACGGATCATAGATTGAACTTTCCAACATTTACTTGCTTGTCACGGCAAATTGACTTTTAAGAGACGAACAAAAAAAAAAAACAAGAAAGTTCCCAATTCTTCTTAAAAGAAACACGAAAAAAAAAGGAAAGATGAACTGAAGCCTGAAGGGACTAAAAAGGGCTGCTTTTTGTATTCTGCCAAAAAAAGGAAGAAAAATGAACATTTCCCACATGAAAAATTTTCATGCGTGTCTATGAGCTCGAAATATTTGACAAACATAATAGAGAGAAAAATATCTTGCTGGCAAATCAATGAAGTGTGCTCATATCTCTTCATCATGATTAAAACTAAAGAGTTTGAGCTTTAAAGGTCGTCATATCCTAGCGGTAAATGGGTATGCTGTATGAGTTTCTTGATGAAGTCATAATATACTGTAAAATGAGAAACTTTTGTCGATGTTTAAGTTTAGAGGAAATTTAACCCACATAAAATAGTATAATCATGAATATGGGAATGAAGTTAAAGGCAAGAATGGTAGGAAAAGTAAGACGACATAAAAAATATTCAATTTCTGCTTCAACAAACAATTCCATTGTCGTCAAAGTGAACTTGAGAATATAGGAAATGTGAAAGGAAAGCTGGTTGTGAAATCTTAAATTTCAATTTATACGACTTTCAAAATTTAAATTTTTAACGGATTTTTTAAATTTAAATTTTTAACGGATTTTTTAAATTTGAAATTTTATCGGATTTTGAAAATTTGAAATTTTACCAGATTTTCAAAATTTAAATTTTCACCAAATTTTTTAAATTCAAATTTGAACGATTTTAACGGTCTTTTTATATTCAAATTTTTGAACCCAAATCATTGAACTGTTTAACAAAGCGTTTGAACTTAAAATTTTATTCCTCAATAATTTCAACAAAATAACATCCAAAGTTCAATTAATTCACTCTAACCTTCCTAATTAAATCAGAATCAAGGCGTGTAATCGATACAATCTACAATTCATTAACTGTTTATTTAGTATCACATCCCATCCACGAAATCGTATTCATCAAACAGAAAAAAAAGCTCAGTTCCTCTTTATCGTTCTGTAATAACATTTTCAGTCAGGTCAGGTAAGGTTTTTATCCCTTCGCCGTGTCGGTGCTTCATTTTGAATAAAATCAAAATTCTAATTGGATTATCCAAAATAAGTAGAGAAAAAAATGAAGAAATGGAGTAGCAGAAGTCGTTCAGCTGTAAATGAATTTGACCTTTTTCTTCTCGTTTTGCCTGCTTTTCAATCATCGTCATCATTATCATTGTCGTCATCAACAAATCATACCTACGTAGAGCATGGAAAGTTAACGGATGTGTTATGGGTTCTTGTTAAAAGCAGGGCAGCAGGATCTACCATTCTAGATACTAGATATGACTGATCTTGAGCTTAGCAAAGCTTTTTGACTGTAGTTGCTCATATGACAACCTCAAAGGCAAGATCTTTGATTGTATTGAGTGAACCTCAATAATCGACATCGTAGTCATGCGTTCCTCGGTACCACTTCACAAGAAAAACGTGTAAAAACTTCAGCATCCCTTTTTATTCAAGGTCTCCATTTCACAGCAAGAAAAAAAAAACTTTGAATTTAACTTAGAATTCGACTTTAGGATTTAATACTCTTCTTACATCTCAATTATGTTTATCTCGTCTTTCAGTTATCCAAGACCAGCATAAGCGTGGGTGAGAATGATGCCTTTGGGCGAGTAACAAATGTTTGCTTTAGTTGATTCTTGTTATCAATTTAGCAAGCACAGTTTCTCTTTCTTCTATGAGCTCCTTTTCAATTTTACTGCCATAAATCAAATGCTTAAATCTCTTCATCCATTGAACATTATCTCCACTTCAATATTCCTATGTTGATATTTTCATGTTTGCTGCTTCTACGTGATACAATGCACTGCCGATAATTCTGCGATAATACTCAATAAGTAAAGTTAACGAGAGTAAGCAAAAAAAGCAAGGGGATAACAATATGAAGGGATCAAATTAAAATTTCATCATGTTGTTACTCCCTTGAAAATGCTATGATGAAAAACCAGTGAAAAATAGTGAAAAAATTGTTGAAATTTAATTTAAAACTTTTTTTCACATCATGTTGTTATCCCCTTATAAAAAGCTTTGTTCCCATGTAGAAAGGAACACTCTCATGTTGAGTATACAGTAAAGGACTTGATGCATTCAAATTGAGTTAAAATAAAATCACACAAGGTTGGTGCAAAGTGTAAATGCTCTTATAAATGTATTACATGTGTGAATTCCATTCAACCAGTTGCTTTAATCCTTACATTCAGTAAATCTTTTACTAGCTCATATACCCATTACTCATATGAGTTTTTAGTTCAATAAATAAATGATGTGAAGTTAGTCATGTAGAAAATGTGTTGATAAAGCATTACAAGTGTGTAAATGGATGTTGTGTATTATGATGGAGTAATGGATTTTACAAGAAATAATTGATGTTGTAATTAGTATTGGTTCTAGCTTGTTATTGCATTACAAACCTTAAGATTATAATTGGAAATTTCAAAGAATTTTCAGTAAAGATTTTGAGATAAAATCAAATTTATTTCCTTCTATTCTTAAAGTTATCCATTAAATATGTCCTTAAACTTTCTTTTGTTCACTCAAGCTGCTAAATTTAATGGTTACTGAGATATGTGGGATGCTACATATAGCATATAAAATTTACTTGCTGATACTGAGGATATTTATGAAGTTGAACTAAGACAATGAGTGGGGAATCAGATTATTAATGCAATATTGCTTATTGAGCTTGATAACGTAATTATTTGGTGCATAAAGCTGTAAAGAAGCTCACAATCTCAAAATTGTAAGCTGCCAATTTAAACCTTACATTTTCAATTATTCTTCAAATAAAAGCAATCGACCTTGAAGACATGAAACTGAAAAATCATAGACAGAAAGGTTCAAACGTTGAAAATTCACTGAACCAAATAAAAGGAGTCTTATTGAATCTAACGTTTATCTTTAAAGCCATCGTTTTCCTCTTTGTAAAGCTTTGGTAGACTTCACAAAATTGATTCCAAGAAAAAAACATTTTCAGACATAAAAAATTGATTAAAAATGATAAAAAGAAAAACCAATACACACACTTATCGCATCCCTTGATATCGATAAAGCAATTCAATGGAAATCCATTTTCATTACAATCAATTCAACACAAAAATCACATCAACCATAAAGGAAGGAGAATGAGAAAGACGACAATTTCTCTATTCACAAAGTGAATCACGTTTTGGCACTTCTTTTTGCTTCTCACATTCATTTTCCAAACCATTCCGATCCCATGACAAATGTAAAGGCTTTTTCACTTTTGGCAGGCACTAAAAACACATGAAAAAGAATTATCGACACATAATCGCAAATGTTACGTGAAATTAGGCCATAAAACTGTAAAGAGCTTGCCTATACTTTACAAATACTACACAATATAATAATAGAATAAATGGGAGGGCGAGAGGCAAGAATTTTTCTGGTCCATGTGCTTTATAAATGCTTTTTTAAGGCACAACGAAGAAAGGAAAAAATTTACACATAAATAAAATCAAGAACGCAAGATGAGATTAATGGACTCGGCTTGAGGATGGGGAGAAGGAA